CAGTCTATTTAACTCACTGTGAGGGTGTGAGCAAAGTCAGTCTCTTCCAACTAGGTTTTCAAACTATTAGTCTTTAGACCCAACCAATGCTGACTCTAGGGACGGGAAATTCATCAGAACGCACGCGCGCGCACGTACCTTGTCAACCCTGTGGGGGTTCCACAAGGTTCCATTCTTGGACAGTTACTTTTTTCACTTTACATTAATGACTTGCCTAATGTATGTCCTGAGTTGAATGTGCAAATGTATGCCGATGATGCGGTCATCTTTGTACATGGGAAAAACACTGAAATAATCTCATCTTGTCTCTCAAATGCATTGGACAAGGTTCAACACTGGCTGAACAACATTTGCTTACAGTTCAACGTAAAAAAAACAGTATGCATGTTCAGTAAACGACCAGTCAACATCAAAGGATCCAATGTGTTTTTAAACGGAGCAGAAATAGAACTAGTCTCCCAGTTCAAGTATCTTGGAGTCATACTGGACTCGAACTTGACTTAGAAAGTATCCAATACCATTAAATTCAACTTGCAACATTTTAAACAAATTAGACCTTTCTTAACTGTCAATGCTGCAAAGTCATACCTCCACTGTATGATTCTATCCCACATTGAATACTGTTTTACAAGCTGGTCGTTTGCTTGTGCCACCAACCTGAAACCAATAGAACAGCTGTACAAGAGAGCTATCAAGGTGTTTGACAGAAAGCCAAATTCATACCACCACTGTACCATCCTTGAGAAACACCATTTCTTGAGTTTTGACAATTTTAAGTCTTTTAGAAGTATGTGCTTTTTTTTATAAATGTTTACATGGACTGCCCCCCCCCCCCCTTAGGGGAATTCATCCACAGAAAACACACTGTGAGGTCCACTGCAGACGGAACACTTTTGGACAAAATGTCCTCTCCATTAAAGGCAGCTCATTGTGGAATAGCCTCCCAACTGACATACGGGATTGTCCCACTCTCAATAGCTTTAAAGGTCAACTCAAAGAATGGTTGAGAAACAAACAGACGTTAAATGCACTTTAACACAGGGGTATCTCCTCTTGCACTTGATGTAGCTATTTTATCTTCTCTTGCACTTGACATGTCGTAGCTGCTACATTGTTCTGCCATGTGGTAAATACTTGTATGCTGCTCTTGCTCTTTTGCACTTTTTGCATATCATGTATTTGTTTTTGCTATGTTTGTAAATGTCACTTTCTTAAATGTTTTATGTGAGGGACTGCGGATGGAAAGTAGCTCAAAGCTAAATCCAGCATATTTACGCTTGGTACATTTATTGTGTTAAGTGTTCATTAATGTGCATTGTCCCTACAAAATAAACGATTAAATAAAAATAACATACACAAAAAACATACGTAAGCAGTTTTTTTTAAAACACAAAGATTCATCAATAGAATAGAAAATAATCAGTGATGTAAAACTCCTTCTTCTCATATTATGATTGCACATGCTATACACACAGACTTTGGACCCGTGATCTTGGCAAATAACTAGCAATTTGATTTATTTGCATAAATATTGTTAGGATATAATTTTGACTTGTTTTTAATATCATTGTACATATTGTCTCATGATGTGATTTTGCATAATCTGTGTATATGTGCAGGAAATTACCATTAAATCAGAGCACTACAAGGACGTTGTGGCGAAGGAGGAGCTGGTGTACCTGACGTCAGATTCTCCTAACATCCTGGAAGAGATGGACCCTACAAAGGCTTATGTGATAGGAGGGCTGGTGGACCACAACCACCATAAGGTCTGTCTGAGTTCACTGCTCCAATACCCCACTGGTTATGTTCCTGCTTTCTGATGATGGGAGCTGTCTGCTGTTTGCAGGGGATCACCTTTGAGAAGGCCAAGGAGCTGGGGATCGATCACGCTCAGCTTCCTCTCAGCAGCTTTGTGAAGATGAACAGTCGGAAGGTTCTGGCAGTCAACCATGGTAAGGACTACAATGAGACCAATATATGAGTCTGGTATCAGTAGGTTGAAGCCGCTTCACAGGGGACCAGTTTTAGTTAGTTGCAATATTATCCATCAATAATTGTCCGTGGCCGGGCACTGTAGGTTTTAAATCTGGATTTCTTAACTGTTGTCTGTTTGGTACTGCCAACAATCTTTGCTAGCTAACTAGCTCGCTAACAGCGCACATTGTCATTTCCAGTGAGGGCACAGGAGCCGTGTGCATTTAAAGACAATACTACACCACACCGTCCCAAACTGAAAACACTTCTGTTTCGATTGTACCATGGTAATGAAATTCTTGAAAAAAAAAGAATTAGTCATTTAGGCCTTGTAACTAATTCACTAGCACTTACGATGGTATGACTTGCTTGAAGTGAATATATCTGAACTTTCCTTGTTGTTCAGCCAAAATGAAATGTAATGTAGTACACCGTCAAAATCCACGCATTGCCTAAGTATTCACAGTGCACGTCACGACATGCGGTGTAGCGAGGGAAGTATGAGATTCAGACACAGCACACATGGTGACAGTGGTGCACACGGACCAATGATCAGATCACTCAAAAGACATGATGATTTTTAAGCCACGCCCCAAAAATGTTTTGCAAAAGTGTAGAATATGGATCAGGCAGTGTGTTTACACCATAGGTTTACACAAATGTTAGCTGCAGTTGTTAGCATACTAACTACAGCTGTGACGTAGCATTACTTCCAAGGACACGAGAAAGGTAACATTAGCTTACTACATTATTTTCTCATGTAAAAGTGAAGCTTTCGATTTATAATTGTCGATATAGAATACAAAATGCAAAATTAGATGTAAACAGTCGACAGTAAACTGCTAAACAGTCTTACCCTGCGAATAACAGAAGCCAAAATGAATGATAAGATGGCTCTTATGCTAGATTTCATGTCGTTTTTTGGCTTGAGCTTCAGTCTGTTTTACATCATTACACCTTGCAAAGTTATCCACAAGTGCATATTTAAAACCCCTGTACATCTTGCCTTTCAAAAGTCAGCTTTCAGGGAGCTAATGCTAATTACTTAGCTAGCTACTGCTGATTAAATCTGCCGGTGACATTTGTCATTTCAATTGACTTCACTGACTGTCGGCTCGTAATAAGATGCTACTTCTGATGTACTCCTGTCTGAAGTCAAGGTCACATTGTTTTAGAAACCTGCAGCGCTGGTGTCGCAGCAGTGAAAGAGATCAATAGACCACTCTATGGTTCTTCTTTGTGATGAGGTTAGCTAATTCCTGCTTTTCCTCTCCTGCTCTCACTGCATATATTTGGTTTTATAGTGTGATTTTGTCCTCGTCCAGTGTGTGAGATCATCCTGGCGTACCTGGAGAAGGGCAGCTGGAAGGAGGCCTTCTTCACCGTGCTGCCCCAGAGGAAGGGAGCGGTGGCTGTGGACAAGGACGAAGCAGATCATCAGGAGAAAGAAGCAGAAGATTCAGACTCTGACTCGGACCCTGAACAGGCACACTGAGAAGGCTCAAACATAGTTCTAATGGACAACTGATGATATGAGAAAACGTCTGGATATATTGAGGCTGTTTCTATTCACAAAGCATCTGTTTGTTTGACATTTCCAAAAGTTTTTTTTTTTTTAAAGCCATAATTTATTGAAAATTTTACTTTGTTTTACTTGCCTCCTGTAATGGGTAATAACTTAGTTGAAAAGCCAATTGAAATGTTTGTTTTGCTACATTTATTGGCAGAATTTACAGAAATGACTTTATAGCCTACTTTAATTTTGTATTCCCTTTCTTTGATCAAAGTTCAAGCTGTTGTAGCAAATGTATTCAGTTAATACATTTTTTTAAAGCAGGATAAAGTCAACACAAAATGATTGTTGTCACCAGGAATTCTTGGAGTATTATAGACACTATATAAAAAGGAACAAGTATTACCTTAACTATGAACAAGTTAATGTAATACAGAATTTTGTAGATGGATATAATGCAGGATATCACACAAAAGGAACAATTTAATGATAAATGAACATTATTGCTTACAAGACAAGTAAAAAAGGACATTCAAATGATGGAATGGCTTATTGAAATGGGTAGAAGTTAAACTGCAGTTACAGAGAATCATTATGAATGATCATAGAGGACATCCTTTACTGACGGAGAGATTTTATTTAGATAAACCATTACATATTTAGGAGTGGGTGTACCAAGAAAGGTGGAGTTATTTCCGCTTATATTGTAATTAGATGGTCCACTTGCCAATAAATGTTTGATAATGAATAAGTGATAAATACATAGTGCAAAAACCTTGGAAAAATTGGCCCTGCCTACAGGTAAGGGAAACAATTGACTGTACTACTATAGAAGGCCATCAAAATAAAAAGATCTGAGGTGTAAAAAGTACTCAGATCTTGTACTAAGTAAAAGTAGAAGTACCAGAGTGTAGGAATACTCTGTTACAAGTCCTGCATTCAAAATGTTACTCAAGTAAAAGTAGAAAAGTATTGGCATCAAAATATAGTTAGAGTACCAAAAGCAAAGTAGTCATTGTGCAGATTGGTCCCTTTCAGAATAATATATATGATATGTTTTATAATGATTGATCATTAAAGTGTTCTCAAAGCTGGTAAAGGTGCAGCTAGTTTGAATTACTTTGTATACTGCAGGGTAGCTTGTGAATTTACTCCAGGTGGAACTAAAGTCTGATTTAACACTTATATTTCACATCATTCATCCACATCTGTAAAGTAACTAAAGGGATTAAATATATGTAGTGGAGTAAAAGTACACCATTTACCTCTGAATTTTAATGGAGTAGCCTACAAAGTAGCAACACATGGAAATGCTCAAGTAAAGTCCTTAAAAAGTATACTAAAGTACAGAACTACAGAACAGACAACGGATATTTATGAACACCAATGGGAGGGTCAGCTCTTGTTGCATGGAGACTGCAGACGGAAGTTGTGGTATCCTGGGTAACGAGGTAAGGTGACGCTAAGTAACCCGCAGAGACGCTGTAGCTGGATTCACTGAGACAGAGACATGTCCCGGAGAGCTCTGAAGGTGCTGGTGGAGCTGGAGTTCACAGCGGTGAGATCTGTCTGCATTAGTACTGTCTGCATTATCACTGTCTGCATTATCACGGTCTGCATTAATATAGCCTCCTGCAGAAACACGCCTGTCTGCTTAATGCTGTAGTTTATCAAGCGTTATGAGTTACTGCAGAGAGCTGCATGTAAACATCTTGTACTTTAGTTTTAGTTGGCCTGTATTTAATAAGACATGTTCAACTTTGTGTTACTTGTCACTTACAAAGGTGAACAGTGTGATACAACAGTGAACCTGGGCCTGGTCTACAGCCTACATATGCACAGTGGTGAAACAATTACTAAATTAAAGAAGCAATACTACAGTGTAAAAATACTCAGTAACAAGTAAAAGTCCTGCATTCAAAATGTTACTTAAGTAAAAGTAAAAAAGTATTAGCAATACAAAAAAAATACTGCCAAAAGTAAAAGTACTTGTTTTGCAACGGATAAAATAAATACAATATTGGTGCATTCATTTTTTCCATCACTTTAAAGATCCCATGACATGCTTTTCCGGTTATTACCCGTCCCCTTGTGTGTTATGTAGCTTTTTATGCATGTAAACGGTGTGCAGAGTCACAAACCCTCAAAGTACACCCTGTAGCGAATAAAACTCTAACACAGAAAATACCTGTCTGCTGCCCCAGAACGCCTCGTTGGAGATTGTTCTTTTTCCATTTTTTTCTTCCTGGTGACAGTGACGTAACGACGACCAAATGGATCAATCCGTGGAGCTCCTCACACACACTCACTCAGCCTTATCTTTTCTCAGGCTGTGAGTGTGTGGCGAACACTTATAAAAGAAAAATAATTCAACCTTTATTTTCAGGGACAGAGCCAGTGAATACATCTGTGTGTCATATAAGATGCAAAAGGTAGATACAAGTACAAGTGTGAGTCTTGTATTGCAGTGTGAAGATATTTTGTCCACACAGAATACATTATTCTAACAGACAGTGTTTAAATAATATTTAGATTTTTCCAACATTCAAGCAGCATCAGAAGGAAATAAGATATGAATGAAGAGTGAACTGGAGGCAGGAATGATTGCTAGACCTAATCAGAAGTGGCCTTCAATAATGTGCAACGTTTAATCACCCTCAACTGGCAGCCAGTGAGAAACGCCACAGGCAGCATGCAGTAGTACAGGTCATAATTGAATCTGACTAATATAATGTCCCTGCACTGCTCTAAGGTGTCCTGTCCTGGAGTCCACCTGCCAGATAAAGATGACCTCTGCCTCAGCATGAGCTTCATGGGTCAGGCCCGTCAGTCTGAGGGTCGGCCCGCTGTCTTCCCTCTGCTGCTGCACCAGAGGATGACCTTTGAAAAAGCAAGTCGTTACTCATCACCTGTCTGGGAATAACACAGTACAAAGTGAGGTTTGAATAATCTGGATGGTAATGTTAGCTAAAGTGTAATACAAGAAATGTGTGATTACAGTCATTGTCATTCTCAGTAATGTTAGCTGAGAAGTGCCTGCTTAGAATGGCATAATACAAAAACTGTACAGTACAAACAAATAAATTATCATTTATAAAAAAAAGGGAAGCTCAATAAAAAACTTTGAATATTATGTTTCTAGATTTTCAGGCATGCAGTCGACCCTGGAGACATCGCTGTGATGCTTGAGTGTGAGTTAAATCATATTTATTACAGTTATACCGTCTGTAGTAGATGTTTTTTCACGTTATGTGATGGCATACTCAAAATCTTTTGTTTATAAATCAACCCATTACATCACCATTTTTTCTCAGATATGTATCTTTATACATTTTCCTCTGAATGCTTTTGCATTAAATTGGCCCTTTGTAAAAATTCATTGGAAAGATTAACATTTATTTAAAACATAAGCAACTGAAATATTCCAGATATACATTTTTTCCAAGTCCAGACAAAACCCTCCATTCGTACATTTATTTCCATGAACCAATATGAACAATACAATGAACAGGTTTCCTATATATATTTGCCGTTGTCTCTCCTATGGCTTGTTTGTTTCGTCCTGGTTAGAAACCTTATGGCTCCT